GCTCGGCTTTCCTTTTTTCCGCCTCGAGCTCGGCTTTCCTTACTTCCGTCTCAAGCTCGGCTTTCCTTTTTTCCGCCTCGAGCTCGGCTTTCCTTTTTTCCGCCTCGAGCTCGGCTTTCCTTACTTCCGCCTCGAGCTCGGCTTTCCTTTTTTCCGCCTCGAGAGCTCTTACTTCCACCTCATGCGTCAAGACCATATTATCTTTCTCTGATTGTTCTAATTTTCTCTCTAATTCAATTGAAATTTGAGTCTTCCTTTTTAACTTCCATTCCCTGTCCTGAATATACCATAAGTACTCATATGTCAAAACTTTATGTTTAGTTGGATGAAATTCATATTCCTTAATAGAACTTTAAACATCATATATAGCAAATAAGAAATTGCATTAGGAATAAGTACGTAGCTAAAACAATCAGTAATAGTTGAATTGAGAGGATGTTTGGTACAATTGTTTCAAATTAACAATTAGTTGTTTTATGTAATATGATAGTGAATAGTACTATTTAAATTATTAATTATAACAATTATTAACAGTTGATTCAACGAAACTGCTAATGGCTAGTTCCTTACTATCATAAGCTATAGATAAGCTACTTGAATTCTGAAAAACGGCTTAGTAATGAAAAAAGTTTAAATGGCAATTTCGGTCCCTCAACTTTAAAGCTTTGTACAGTTTTCATTCCTCAATTGTTTTGAGCACTTTTTTTGTTTCTCCATCAATTAGTCCATTAAGTCTGTTTATATATGTATATTTTATAAGTTTAAGGATTAAAAACATGCATATATAGATAAATTTATCGAATTAACTGACGAAAAGATGAAGTGCTTAAAATAGTTGAAAAATGAAAACTGTGCAGAACCAAAGTTTAAGGACCAGAATTAGCATTCAACTTTAAAAAAATGATTTTGAAGAGATTAGGAGCTTTTTGCGGAGGAGATTGAGATTGGCTTTCTAATATTGTAATTTTATCTTAATAGAGAATTTTTATTTACTTTATCTTAATAGAGAGTTTTTTTTTTCCCGTCATAGTTTTTTCCCTCCGGAGGATATTCCACAATATTAGGGTTTCTTCTTCCTTGTTATTTTGCCTTATTATTTAGTCCACTTGTATAATTTATGGTGATCATTTTTTATCAATTGACCTTAGTTTGAGTTAAATTCAACAATTGCTATCAGAGCTTAAAGAGGGAGTGAGATACGAATCGCAACAAATTTTTCACAGTTAGCTCAAGGACCCAAGGTGATTATGATATGATATGGTAGGTGACGTGTTCCATGATATGAGTAAAGTTGCGAATTTAAAGGTAGTTGCCAATTTGATGAACGTGGTTGAGGACGCCAGAGACTCTTGGAGAAAGCAAATTTGTATTAAGCAGTGGTGGTGAGGCAATAAGACTTGGGAAGGTTGCTACTAACAAAGGTATTTGCTGTGAAGATATTTGATGATGGTGTGGGGAAGTTGTTTAACGCACTCCATGAGAGATGAAATCAATTTTAAGGGCAAATCAACTTCAATGAGTACACCGGTTCAATTAGTTGACTCAATAAATATTATTAAATTTATTTTATTACTTATAAGTTATTTTTATTTTAATTGGTTTATTTTTTAAATTAATTGAAATCATTTTTACATTGATCAAAGTAGTTCTTAATTTTAAAAATTTTATTCTAAAAATTATTCACTTCAAATTAATTTCATTTATTAAATTTATTAATATGCAATATCATATTAATTATAAAATTATTTTTTCTTTTATTAATTTTATATTTCTGAATTTGCTTGAGATTTATTTTAATTTTCAATTAATTTCACTCTCTAATTTGAAATAGTAATTCAATTTCAAATTCATTTTATTTTTTAAAGTTGATCCAAATCACATTTAAATTAATTTAAAAATTTTCATTTATTAGTATTAATTTGATTTTAAATAAATTTTACAATTTAATAATTATTACATTATCTATAAAATAAAAAAAAATATAAATATTAAAGAAAAAAAGGGCTAAAAATGAACCGATTCTGGTCTAGAATTTAAAATCAATCGGATTTGACTACTACCGGATTAATATCATTAACCATCCCGGTTTTAAGACCAAATTTGGTCAAACCAGTTGAAGTAACTGATTCAGTCAGAATTTCAAAACAGTGTTAACTCCATTTAATTTATTGCATTCTTTGCCTTCGTTAAAAGAGTTGATTTATTTTGTATGACAAAAATTACAAGGCCTCGCTAACGTGTAATGGTGTGTAGGATGGGTTAGCTAACGACTAATGTGACAAGGTGAAGTGGGGATATTTACACGAAAGATGATATCAATTCTTGATACTTAATAATAATTGTGTGATTAACTGAAGGATCACATGGATCACTCGCATGGATAAAAGAGCTTAGTGGTGGATGGTTTGCCATGACACAGAAGAAAGAGGTTCAAGTTGGAGGAGTACCTCCTCATTCAAGGGAGAGTATTCGAAGAATTCAGGTTCAAAAGACAGATTGTTGGGATTGTGCCCTGAATTCAAGTGGAGATTTGAAATTTATCAAAGAAAAGGAAAAAGGGGTAGACTGTTGCAAACTTCTAGAAACTGAAAATAAGTTTTGAAACCTTAAGCCTTGACCACAATTCCTTTGTGAGGTAGGAATTGTTCCTTACGTGGAGAGTTATTTAGTTTTTTGGTTGACTTCAATTTTAGAGTGTAATTAGAATTTCTACTCCAAACCAAACTCCTGTAGTTGTAACCTAATATAAATGGGTTATTAGCAATTCTAAAATTATACCAACAAGAGCTTATCTATCCCTCTGCTGAATATTTAAAAAAAAAAAATAGAAAAAGAACAAAAAAAAAAAAGAAAAAATTAAAGCAACTTTAAAATTATGTGTACAAACATCAAGAGTGGTGTGGTTTAACCCACTATATTGGGGTGATAAGAGTGTCTCCATTCTCTTTAGGTATTGAGATGGTGAGATTCATCTATCCATGAGAATGATTTTTTAGCCATAGATGATTTATGAAAGTTTCTTAGAAGCTATTAAGAGGGTCCAGGTATGAGAGAAAATACAAGATCAAGAGAGTTCTTCAGAGAAATTATGAGTTCCTAGCAGAGGTTGAGATTCAACTTCAAATATTATTACTGTTTCTTAATAGAAAATTTTTCTCTTCTTTCTCTGTGATTTTTCCCTCACTTTGGAGAGTTTTTCACTTTAAGTGTTCTTCTTTCTTCCCTATTATTTTGTTTTATTATTTAATCCAATTGCATAATTATATGATAATGTAGTTCATCAATTGGCCTAGGTTATTATTTGCTTTATTATTAGAGAATAGGGGGATTTAGTTCCCGACAAATTGGAATCTTTACAATCAAGCAAACTTTCGTGTTTTTTCTTCATCAGCTTCCCAGATGGTTGGGCTTATGAAAAAATGTAGAAGACTTTTTTGAAATTAGGCAGTGCACGCAATCGACAGTCTGAAGAGCAAGGATAAAATAGGAAGCTGATTTAGGCTTGTGCAATTTCTAGAGGTGAAGAATGAAAAAGAGCTAGAGCACTGCTTAGATCAAATCAGGGTTGAAAACTTTAAGTTAAAGGTTAATTCCTCGGTTCACCTTGAACACTATTGGTTCGAAAAGAAGAGTCAGGGTGGCACAGAGGCGTGATCTCTCAGAAGGGATCAGTGAAGGAAAGGGAGAAGTAATAAAGGTGGACTTGAAAATGAAGATCATCAAGATAGGGCTAGAGAAGAATGGGCAAGAAGGGCAGTTGATTTTTAGGCCCGAAGTACAAGTAGAAATTAGGTTGAATGAGATAAGGCATCAATGGGGATGGGGAACTACCAACCATAGAGATAGGAAATAATTGTGGGCTGGTCCAAGATAGTAACAATGTTGAAGGAAGGGAGAGATCTTTCAGGAAGGCATGGAAAGTGAATCCAGGCATATTAAAGAGTGGATGAGAAGGGGAGAAGGAAGAAGAAATAAAAAGAAAAGCAAAAAAAAAAAAAAGGGGGCTCGCTCCACGAGCAGCATACAAACAAGCAACAACTGTGAACAAATCAGGGACAAGAAGAAAGAGAGGACAGCTAAGTAAGAAGAATAATCTAGAAGAGGCGACACCAATTTTTTTCCGAGTTTGTTGATTTCAATGGCGAGAGGACCTATCAGTGATCTTGGAATTGCAATTCGCCACAGATAAATTTGCAATTTTGAGAGAAGAAATGTAACCAAACAGATGTGGACCATTGCAAAAAAAGTGGGAGTGACTGCTCAAGGCGATGAGGAGGAAATTATTCAACGGATCGATGGCATGAAAAACAGAGATACCAATGCAAGGAAGAAGGCTATGGGGAAAGAAAATGGTGGAAGGAAGATAAGTTGTAGTTTCAAATGATTGCTAGACCTTAAGCCCCGCTTTGTGAGATTTATCTGTATTTTTTTTAGATTTTTACTAATTATAATTTTCTTTAATAATAATTAACTATAAATATATCTATCTTAGAGTATTCTTTTTGATAATTAGTAATTTTAAATGTATTAATTCAAAAAAAAGTCTAAATGGTAGACATAAAAAAAGGTTTAAGTGTACAAATTTAATCAATATAATTTTAAAAAATAAAAACAAAATTTCAAAATTTTTTAATTTATTAATAAATCATAAAAATTTATGAATCATCTCTACTTATTCTCTCTATATTAATAAATTATTTGATGCTATTCTTTCTCTCCCTTATCATTTCCTCTATTATCTCTTATCCCGATTATACACATACTATATTTTTCTCAATTTCTTACATTAAGATGGTATCTCTCTTTATATCTTTCTACGAAGAACCTTCAATTTTTTAATGTGTTTTATCACCACACACTGTTCTTATTGTTATGTATTTTAATTCTGACTTAACTTAGTGCTTGTATCTCTCCTCACTTCTCTTTCTTTAACTTGATATTTTTCACATTATTTTACATTTTCATTAATTTTTTGGGTTTATTTCACCTTTACACTCATATTGTCTCCATGTATATATATATATACATATATACTTGTAAATCTCTTTCTGTATTAGTAATTTATTTTTATATTATTCATTATCCCTTATCCTCTCCTCTCTTGTTCTTTTTTAATCATTCGTTGCATATTTTTTTTTCCATCTCTACATATCTTTTTAAAACTAATTTGACTTCGTCCCACTCCCTTTTTGTATGTTAGAAATGTTTTCAAGTTAAAATATAAGAGGCACCACTTATTAGCATTATTATTTAGATACTTAATTTTTCGCATACCTT